TATGGCCTCAGCATCTCCAAATGACTTCAGACGCAAGTATTACAATTACTGAACGGAACAGCCAGCCACCCTGGCTCAAGCCGACATGATGGGGGTGGTGGGGGATACAATCAAAGAAAGTATAGCAGCAAATGCTTTCAAAATGTAATTATATAATGCTTAGCAAGGTGCCGAAATAAAGTTTTCCAGATCTTGGAGACTTCGATATTGCCAGCATTTTCCTATTAAGTGTGCACATCAGAGGATGAATTTACTGTCAAAGATGACATTTCAGCTCATCCAAGTTCAGCCTACAGGACGTGTTCACTCAGCTTGTATTACAGGGAGTGGAAATTTAGAAAAAAAAATAACTTAATTCTTTTAAAATTTTAGTATAAAGAAGAAGTAGCACCTCTGATTTTTTTTTCTGTCTGTCCCCACTGCAAATATTTCCTCTCGATTTTTGTCCCAGTGACATCAACAATGAGAAAGAAGAGAGGACAGGAATGAGAAACAGTCAAATAGAAACTTGACTGAGGTTCTAACCCTTCCCCGTGTCTCTATCTAAAAAGGGAAAACAAGTTACACTTAACCTTTTACAATAGATGACAAAGCTGACAAAACATACTTGGTTTGTTCTGTGAAAAAGCCTATCCAGCCTTTACAAATAGAGATTTTAACATAAGAAAATGTGACAAAAAGCAACCCCGCATCCATTTTCTTACATAACCCTTCTAAAAACGTACCAAAAATGACATTTTTAGCTTAGTAGAAGTGAACTTTTTACAGAACACAACAGTGCCACCTGCAGACATTTATACGAAATGGCACCGATCGAATGCCTAGGATTTAGGAGCAGGAGAATTGAGGTCAGATTCCAGCCATCAATGTCTAATGTACAGAAGAAAATAGAAGCCAGGACGCAAATGGCTGCTAAACAAGAATCTCCTAAGCTCATTGAAGGAAAGGGAGGCGCTTTGATTTGTGAGATGTGTAATTTACTATTCCCCTGCTCTTTGACATAGCCAGAACAAGCTTCCAGCTTTTGCCCTTTAAAGTGACACTAAACTCAGGAGTTGAATCTTAAAAATGTATTGAAATTCCACATTTACTGGACATGTGGGGGGATCTGGCCCTTCTGGAGGATGGTTAGGTCCACGCTGGAGTACTTAACGCACTCCACCCTGCTGTTGATACCCATTAACTATTTGTTGGGGCATATTTTGACAGCGACTCGCTGTCTCATAGCCCTTCATTGGAAGCGTACTACCCAACGGCTAAATTACATAATACTGTCACTCTTAACAACAAGGTATGGGAGGCATGGATATCATACGATGCTGGTTCTGAATGATGTGAAGTGATGCCCAGTCAAGATGGTCTGTGTCCCTTCTCATCATGCACGGGTCCTGGGACAACCGGAGGGGGTTTTTTCTTTTTCCTCTCTCTTTTCAATCTTTACTTATTCTTCTCTTCTCTTTTACGTCTCTTGGTTAATGCTTGGTTTTTGGGAATTAGTTCTTGTGGTGAAACATATGCTTCTCTTGGAAAGTCTGAATGTCAAGACTTTTTGTGCTTCCATGCTACTGGTTTATATTCTGATGGATCTGATGGATTGCTACTTCGATTGTATCCCTTCGTTTCACTGCCGCTGTTCTATTTTGTACTGAAACATTTTTCAATAAAAATGTATCCGTTAAAAAAAAAATTTATTGAAGCACCCCAACTACTAGAAAAAATATAGTCTGTGTATCACTCAGCTGGAGATCCTCAAATTATCACTGAATTGGTGCCAACACAGTGCTTCCTTCTGGAGGGTGGCTACTTTTGTTCCCCATGGTCCCCGTGTGTGTTCTAAAGTAGGCACCTCTCCAAGCTCGCTTCCGTGATAGTAAACTAAACGTGAGATTGTAGTTAATTTGTAGGCAGGCTATTTGAAGGATGGTGGCAGTGGCGGCCCACCCATCTGATGCATAAAAAAAACTCTTGGACCAAAACTAATGCGGAAAACAAAGCACAGCTACGTAAAAGTGGACCACCATCATAAATACAGGGAAGACAGCCCACTACACAAGTCTGTCATTTGCTAGTAAGTGTCAATAACCCAGCAAGGTTCCCCCGTCTCATAAAAAGCAGGAAACGAACAGCGTCCCGGAAGGATGTGAAGAGTTTAGGGACACTAAAAACGGAGCCCACTGCAATCAACACTGGTAGACGGTGCAGGGAGATCTTCCAGGATAAAAAGTCCTAACAGCAAAGTCACACCACAGTGACATGGCAGCCGCAAGTAACGGTTAGCCCGACCGCATGGTGAGCGCACACGCGGGAGGGCTCAAAGAAAAAAAAAAAAAACACACACACAGGCCTCAGAGGCTGCCAGGATCCCAAACATGTAGCAAACACCTAGACAAGGCTGCTGCCGCCGTACCTGGACACCACAGTGCTGCCAGTAATCCCTCCAAAAAGGTGGACACTGGCAGAGAACACTCGCCTATTGTGAAGATCTCCACAGTGTCCTTCAATGAATGGAAGAGAAAAATCGCTGCTGAATAGAATTTTAGCAAGAATCTCCTGATGAGCTCTTATCATCCCAAACTAAAAAGGTATAATCTAAAGAAAAATGAAGGGATAAAGATCCCATTTAATAGAAAAAAGTACCAAGGGTGTTGACAATTGAAGTGCCAGATATCAATCAGTTGCTGTGGACAGATACAGATTTCTCCCATTACTGGCTAACCGTATGTTATTCTACACTGAGGAATTTATAAAAACTGGAGCAGACAGAATCTGGAGCATTTGCCCACAGTAACCAATCAGTTTCTATCTTTCATTTTGAGAGTTCAACTGAACAAACTGAAGAGTGAAGCTGATTGATTGTCATGGACAACTGCTTAAGATTCTGTCCAGTTTTGTGTGGAGGCAGAGCTTTGCTTCCTCAAGTCAGAGCCTCCAGCAAAGAAAAACAGTGAGTAGCACAACAGTGAAATCATGAAATCTCTCTTCCAATCTGAGACTAGCAGTCAGTTGCAGCAGTGCCTCAGATCTCACACTACAGACACAGGAGTGCCTGGCCATAATCACATACCAGGAACAAGACTGAATTTTTTCAAGTGGAATTCCGGATAAAGTTAAATTTTTCAAGGTAATGCTTAGACACATGTATCCTTGCTATGTTGCAGGGGACATCTAGACAATGTTCACTTTTTGATTTAATTTCTACTTTAATTAGGGGCTGTTGTGAAGGTTATTGTAAGGACTTTACCGAGTTTAAATAAAAGGTAGCGGACGAAATTCGCACAGTGTGTGGGGCTGTCGGCTCCCTTTCAGCTGGCATTCCTTGATCAGTTGATCGAAGGAGCCGGCTGGAAAATCTTCATATGATCAGAGCCGACCACAAATGAGCTGCCCGCTCTGATCAGGTATTCTGACAGGTGCCAATGCACTTTAAACGGTGGCGATTCCTCGATCGACATGCTGTTTGTGTTGGAGGAATCAGGTCAATATTTTTCTTTGAAAGGAAAAAAAATGGATAGGTGTATGCCAGCGTTAGTGTGCTCAGAAAATAATAACAATGATGTACAGCCCAACTGTAAATATCTAAAAAGGCATTTGGTTAAGCAGATTCTAGTGAGCCTTCAGATCCGAGGTACATAACTCATGCCATGTTAGGACACTCTATCCAACCATTGTGTGTTAATATGATTACACATGTTGGTACCCAACATTCTTAAAATTAACTCAAATGGTCTAGCTAAAAGTCTTACTGGAATAGATAAAAAGAGTAGTAGTATATCAAAAACTTTTACCAACGAATATGGTGCTGCAGTTTCCCTTCAGTGCTAGCTGTGTAAAGTCTTGTGCACTGAAGTGGAGGATCAGAGATCAGACTGACCTTATCCTTGTGCTCAAGTACCTAGGCCTTTATTTATGTGGCCAGCACATACGTTAAAGCAGCATTTCCTCCAATAAGCCCCTACCTGCATGGACAGCTATGAGATTCTGAGCCAGAAGTCTGGCCACACAGCTTCTGAACAGTTTTTTACATTGGTGACTGTTAATTTCTGGGGGCCCATGCCTCTAAGACTTTTTCAAAGTTTTCTTTTTTCTTTTTAACAGCTGCATTGCAGATGTTATGAGGTCAGCTTAGATACAAAGGAGCAGAAGTAGATTGTCTTTGGTAGATTTCCATTTGGTACTACTACAACTGAAAAAAAAAAAATAACTATAAAAGCTCACCTGAGAGTTCCCACTGAAGCCAGGTGGTTGGCTGTATTCTGTCGAGTCAATTATGCTACTGCCAGGCAAAAAAGAAAAAAAGTTATTTATGCAATCTGAAGAAATTATTATGTAGTCTGGTTCTTTGGGCTTAAATTAAATGGTCTGAAAGAGACCAATAAAACAAGTGGCACACTTTGAAAAACAGACAAAACAGATCCAGCAACAGATTAAGCTGAAAGTCATCTTCAATTAATGTGCCATTGCACCACACAAAAGCTGGCCATACTCTTTACAATTATCTGCAGACTTTCTGTGGTCAGATGGAAACAGATTCCTCCATCTACACTTAACTGTGTGGATGGAGTAATCTCCACTTGTGCCAATCTGTTGCACTTTTTCCATCTGACCACAGAAAATCTGCAGATATTGTAAGGTGTATGGGCACCTTAAAACAAAAATCGCTCACTTACACAAGTGAAACAAAGTTGCACAGATTACTCATTAAAAAAAGACTTCTACAAAAGCCATTTTTTACATGTACAAGCAGGGGTGTACATCAGAAAAAAAGGGCTTTTTAGGAAACCATTGCATCAATGCTGGACACACAAATAAGATTTCTTGGCCAGTATGCAAAACACAACGTGAAAGAGCACAGTCTAGGAACATATAAATAAAATATGTGTACTCTATAGGACGTGAAGAAGTTACTAAGTTCAGATTCTGCTGTGAAAAAATTATAAATCTCGGTAGTCACTACCTCTGTAATAATTGTGCAATACAACAATCAGGTGTGGGAAAAGGGTTTTCAATCACCAGCCGCTGTATTGATTAGGTGTTTCTGTGTACTAAGTGTACATTGTTTGTCCAAACAAACCTCTTAATGATGTGACAATCTATTCAAAGACACCAATCCAAATATAAATGACTCGGTGTCACAGATTGGTCGTGTATAAGAAAAACAAAAACAAATTCTAAAATCCCGATCTCTAAATTGTGACACATTTTAAATATAGTACGAACACTTAAATAATAGAAATTAAACAGTATGAAAAATTATCACATATACAGTGCTACTCCGTGCACTCTGACTTGCGATATAATAAGTTCACTCACACACATAGTTGCGGCTGGTCGAACTAATTATTTAGTTATTTAGTTTTCACACCTAGCGCAGTGATTCTTGAATTACTATGTGAAAGAGCACAGGATACCTAAAGTGAAACTAAAGCCAATTTTGCAATTTTGATAGAGTAAGAGTTTTTTCATCTGTGTCCCATTTGGGGAGATTTCCCTTCAGTTCTTGTTCCATATCCACAGAAGGAGAGGAAATCCCTCCAAAGTGCAGAAAATCCTTGGATGTCACCAAAACTAGTGACTTCATTATGTTCCATTTCTCCTCTACTCCTGTTCTGGTGACAACAAAAAAATTACTTCAGGACAGACAATCTCCCTAATGGGGACAGAGTTGGTAATAAAAACCTGGCTGGTGTTCTAATCCCTCTCCACTCTATCCAAATCTAAATGAGAAACGTTTTGGCTTCAGTTTGGCTAAGTTAAAGGATCCAGTATTACAGCCTAATATTAATAGCAATGTTCTGAAGACAAAGTGACCGGGGACACAACATGTCACTGCACAGGGTTAAAGTAGAAATCTAGCCAATTATATTTAAGATTTACTTTGTATTTTTCCTGCTAAGACTGCTATGTATAACATATTGTCCAAGAACATATAACCTTAGAGGTTTCTGACTGCAGAGTACATTTGATATGCAATGTGCTTGCAACTTAGGGAACACAATGATCTAGCTACTAAAGATGGGTTAAGACTTTAATAAATTCTGAGGAGGACACCATCAGTCATAACAAGGAAAGAAGTACAAAGGGCCTAAAAAATATACTGGAATTACCCGACCACAAATCATAAAACAAATTATGAAAGAATATGCAATCAGTTCAACATTACATGGCACTGTAGGTATCCTTAAAGTGACACTAAACTCAGGAGTTAGAGTGACATTAAACCCTTAGATGTTTTAACATAAACCAATACTGTAATGTGTGCCTTACTGTAATCCATGGTAGTTTCCCTTCTCTTTGCTGCTCTTCCTTTTAAATCTGTATCTGTTCTCATGCTCTGGGAGAACTTCTGTTTTGCAGCAGACTGCCTTGTCTCTGAAATGGATACATGGTGTCTGTGTGAAGGTTCACAACCTGAGCCAGCACTACAGGAAGAGGCACTCAGCTGCAAAGGGAAGTTCTGCCCAGCATGAGAAGATATACAGATTTAAAAGGAAGAGCAGCAAAGAGAAGGGAAACAACCATGGATTACAGTAAGGCACACATTACAGTATTGGTTTATGTTCAAAAATCTGAGGGTTTAATGTCACTTTAAATTTTAAAAATGCATTCAATAACCTTAACTATTAACAAAAATGTAACTTGTACACTGAGCGGCCAGATTATTATGACCACCTGACGTTTGTAGGCAAATTAGCTATAATTTTGCGCTGAAGTTGCTAGAGGGCCAGACCATTATAAATAGGGAAGCAGGTTGTTTACCAGGACAGTAGAAGTGATTTTTTTCTGAAGATACGGGAAAACAACGCGATTTAACAGCCTTTGAACGTGGGATGATTGTTGGCGCTCGGAGCCATGGCGCAAGTATGAGCAAAACAGCAGAATTCGTGAAATGTTCAAGAGCAGCTGTTGTTAAAGTGTTTAAAGACTGGACTGTAAGCCGAAAATCTGGGGCTCAACGTGCGAATTGTGGCCTTCAGCGACTAGTCAATGTTAGGGCAGAACGGAGAGTGGCAAGACTGGTACAAGACAACAGAAGGGCAACAGTGCAGTGTCAGATTCATTTCCTGAGTTCAGTGTCGCTTGTGAGCTTTACACTCAGTCACTCAACACAATGGTCTACTTGCTACCACTTAAACGATCCACAACATACTCTATCAGAGGTCTGGCTATAGCCAAGCTATTTCATGGCTAAAAGTATATCTTAAGTCAACTTTTTTCATTTTGAATAGAATAGAAAGTGGTTAACGCCTGTCGTGCTTTTGTTTGCCATTTAGTGACTTCCTGTTTTATAGAGATATCAAAATAGAGATCTCAAATCATACTTCTGAGATAAAAGTGACTTCTCAAAACTATGGGAAATCCTCTTGTAGATAGTTATGGGAACAAGTGTTCCCATCTGAAGAATTCCTCTCTAAACCTGTTATTGAGACAACTCAACATTAGATTTTCTCGCTTTGTCCTGGTGATAGTGTTTCCCTACACAGATAAGTGAATTTCTGAACAGCGAGCAGACTGGGTGTTGTAATTACCCACCACTTAATCCAACGTGTGCCCTCCCCCCTAAAAAAAAAAAACACAAACTTTGGCTTTACATAGACAATCAGATTACTGTAAAAAAGGGTGTCTGCACAAAAACTATGGTGTGAACAAAACTCACCTGTGTGATGGGGATGGGGCCTCAAATTGGGGAACAGTGCTGTCTTCACTGCGTGGAGAGTATAAACCACTCATCTCCTGCAATAAGAAAACAAATCTAAGTAACTGACAAATTACATGTATGTATTTAGGGCCCATTCACACTATCAAGCAAGCAAACGCAACGCTGCTGTTGCACGCTGACACGCACAGTGCTGATGCGCCAAACCCAGCGCATTGCACTTTTTTGTTAGAATTTTATTGAAATGTCAAGTGTGACATTATCAAGTTCTATTAGCACAGTGCAGTTCAATGTGGTTGTACTATGTTTCACCACGCTGGAAAAAAGTACATCATGCTTTACTTTTTTTAGGGCTGTTACTGATTAAAATTTTCGTGTTCGATTAATCTAAATTGTTTTTAATCGATTAATTTCAATTAATTATAACGCACATACAGATCCAACTACATTGGCCTATACACATACAGCACAGCAATTAAGTAATAAAATGAACTAGGATCACACTAATCTAGCACGTTATTAATCTCACGTGCCCCACTCAATATGGCCGCCGCTTGAGTGGGGCAACTCAGACTAATAACGTGCTGGATTAGTGTGATCCTAGTTCATTTTATTACATCATTGCTGTGCTGTATGTGTATAGGCCAATGCCTTGGCTGGTGCTCATTCAGAAAGTTTTTAAAAAATGTAATCGATCAAAAACATTTTAATCGATCAAAAAGATTAACGATTAATCGAGAAATTAATTGTGAATTTGCACAGCCCTACTTTTTTTCAGCACAGTGGTGCTGAACATTTAGAATTGCCTGGTCTATGGATTACGGCGAAGCTGGAAAAAGTGGCCAGTGCAGCCCCAACCCTACCTATGTGGATGGGCCCTCAATCAGTAAAAGTGTGCACTGTGTGGCACTGGCTTTAACAGTGTATTGATCAAATCTGATCTCCAGCTCCAACAAAAACCTGTCACAGCCATATGCCAAAGCCAGTATTATAACTTTCAGACTTCTGCAAATTCTCATATTTCTATCCAAAAAGAGTCCTTTTAGAGTGAACCCGACCTAAAGACAGATATCAAAAGATAGGTGAGAGACAGTGAAAGATAGCCAAAGAGGGGAGGAGAAAGAATAACAGAGAGAGATGCATTGAATGATGCACATCTAAGGTCATCTGACTTTAGAGATGGATGTTAGCAGACTGCCAAAAGCATCCAGCTGCAGACAAATTTGATCAAGTCTCTCACCTCCACACGCTTTATGTCTTCCTCCACCACACTCAGTTCTTTCTGGATCTGCTCCAGTTGCTAGAAGGTCAACAACAGAGAAGACATGAAACAAACGCTTTATAGCCTCACTTATTATCTCCAAATTTACAGTGCACATAAAAGAAGGGCTTGTAGGACACACAGCGAGCAAGAGAGGAGCTTTTCATTTACAATAAATCATCAAGAACCGAAACGGAAACTGTCACTTGATTCAAGCACATATGGAACTGGGTTACTGTGCACAGGGCATATGATGTCCTGATTAACCATGTTAGTACAATTTACATATATCATTTTTGTATTAAAGTGGAACCATTTTGTATAGCGTATAATCCCTGTTCATTTTTGCTATCTCTGTCCCATTGGTTTTCCTCCACTTCCTGTCTCAAAGCCACAATAGGAAGTAAGAAGAAATTCCTCCAAAATCAGGGAAAATCAATCCCTGGTTGTCGCCAAGGTCACCAGACATGGCATCCCCTTTGGAAAGAGTCCCCGCTATTCCTATTATTGTGACAATTTAAAATATATGTGATGTTCACAGAAAGAGTGAATCTCCCTAAAAAAAAAAAAAAAAAAGTTTGGGCTTCAGTTTTACTATAAAAAATGGACACAGTAAATGGTTTCCTTTTTTTTAATATTGATTATTAAATATAATGCTAAAGCTCAGGCTATAAGTTCTTGCAGGGAGGGCGCTTCCTTCCAATAGGGAATCTCTCCTGCATTCCTAGTTTCTCTCCTCCCCTCTGGGCGCTGCTCTGTGTCCCCTCTGACACAGTAGAGCATCCAGCAGGGAGGAAACGTTCAGGCAACCGAGCGGGACGTGATGTCACGGAGCAGGATGGAGAGTGGTGTGGGGGCGGAGGCAGCTGTCACAGGAGGCAGAGCCAGCAATGCACCCACGAGCCACTGATCACAGTTGCAATACTTTACGGACTCCAATGCAAAAAATATAGTAAATGCACATTTTTTTTTCATGTGGAAAAAGGTCAGGGGTTGGGAGTCAGGGTAATAAAAGAGGAAAACTGAACTGGCAGGGTGATCCCAGGAATTCTCTTAAACAATGAAGCAGAAAGGGAAAGTGTGATAGGATAAATCTATCAACCTACTGGACTGTCTGGCTATATTGATGGAGAAAAGGTATTTTATAAGTACGGTACATATATTCTATAAATTCAAAATATTAAAAGTAGAAGTCTGGCCTCCCATTCAAAAAATACCCTACAGCAATTATAGGTTCATCTACATTTACAGTTTTCTACAAGTCCCACACATAACTGCTGAGCCTGCCAGTGACGTTGACCTATTGCAGCCTTTTGTAATGGGGTGGCAACGATGCTGCACTGCTCCTGAACTCACAGCAGAGTTGCCATGCTTATGTAGGCTTTGCCTGCTTACACAAGAGAGGGATACTGGCCACACCTAGTTCTGCCCACTGCTTTCTGGATTGACAGTACGACCTCTGTTGCCGAAACCCTTCCACTGTGAGCTGCAGTTTCTGGAAGGGGGAGTGTGTGGGACACAAAGGCTTTGGCTCAGTCAGGGACGGTAAAAGGACATTTTTGGTTGACTGTATGTGTCTTGTGCATAGAACAGTAACTGGATTTGGGACTTTTTTAGACTGCCATAAGAAGCCTTCAGATATACTGACAGGTGCTCCGTTTCTAACTTTCTGTAGCATCTTTATAACAGTTACTGCACTGTGTACTTCTCCAATGGCCATTTGTTTTGCTGGTTTCCAGCAACAAAGAAATGCGCTGGGAATTAAACTTTACTATGTGCGTCCTAAGCAAACAAAAACGTTTGATTACAATGACGCACAACATCAGAAAGTCCATAAAAACATTCACAAAACGTACACAATTCCCCTCAAAGTGAATACAACTCAGAAACAGTACAGCATAATGAAATGTAAAAGATGTTTATCCTCCATGACCCCCAGGAACCCATTTCACCTCATTTGTGACTAAAATGCACCAAAGGAATTTTGGGTCGTGACACGTTAAAGATGGCCAAACATATCTTACGTACATTCTGGCTTTTTGGAAAAAATAAAAAACTATAGGAGGTCCAAGGGTTAAATGAGCAAAGGGCCGAATGCTGGACACAGTCCTATCTTTCTAGAAAGAAATAAGCGCCCTGAAAGCCAAAACTGGAAACCCAAACAGACGCAAGACTGTTTCCTAAAGTTGGAAGAAAACGTATGAAAGAAATTTAAAACAAATGAAGCAAGGAACTCCATTTAAGAATGTTATATCATCGACACAATGTTTATCTTCAGCGGTGTAGAGGGAGTTACTTTAAGTCATTTTCTTGCCAATATAAATATCATTTCTACTCGGTCATTTGTTTTTAATTATTCTTGACCAAAACATAGGAAATATATGAAGCTGAAAGAGGAATGGAAGAAACTGGAGGGACGAGGCAGCGAGTTATGCAATCCATTGCTCTGCCAGACATGAGAGACAACAAGCATCTGTTTATCATCTCTTGACCGGATCAGAAAGTTATACCACAAACTTCGTCAATAAAAACACTGGACCAATCAAAAGCCATCAACATCCCAGCTATTGACAAAGTGAAAAATATGACATGACGTTTAAAGTTTAACTGCTGATCTGATCTAAAAAAAATAGTGAAGGATATTTAAGGTGACTCAAAGATAATCAGTACAAACTACATGATGGAAAATCTTGATAGTACTTCTATTTGTTCATCAGCCGTCAAATGGACATTTCCTGATTCAACCAAAATGTGTGCTGTGTCCGTTACTTGGCCAGAGAACTATGGAGTAAGTGTTTTTCCCCGATAGTTCTCTTTAGGGTCACGGGAGGACATATACTATCCTCCTCCCGTGACCCAAAGCTCAGTATATAGCGGGCTATTGTCCAAGAAATAATGAGTGCCGCAGACAGGATGGATCCCGACAATACTGTCGTGATCCACCCAACTACGTGAGTGACAGCTGGCTCTGCCTATCTAGAGGCAGAGCCAGCTGTACTCGCCCCCTCCCCGTCCATTCCTCCACTGAGCACTGGAGGATCTGAGCGGGGAGGGGGAGAACCCCTGCAGGGAGCGGTGACTGACAGTGACCGCTCTCTGCAGGGAGATGATCAGAAAGTGAACGGATTGGCGGCATGTTTCTGCACACCTCCCGATCAATAGAGCCGACCTGTGACAGCTTCTTCATCACAGGTCGGCCTTTAAATACTTTACATTTAAAAGGTAAGCGGACAAAAAATAAATATGTAGAACGTCATTGGAGACTCACACTACCAGGCTATCATCATACGGCTGCTTTGGCCACAAATTTTTTACCGACCCTGAACAAGTTCAGAGGAATTCTGACTACCATACATGTTTTCATGGCTCTGCAACTCAAATGTACCGAAGCCAGACCCGGCAATCAGCAATAGTGGCCCTTAAAACAGGTTTGTTTTAATCCATAAAGATTCAAAGCTGAATCCAAACTGAACATTTTGGATAGAGTGGAAAGAGATTAAATCCTATGCAAATTGTTGATGTTGCCTGTGTTCTGACGAGGGAGATTTCTCCTTACTTCTGGTCCCAATGACTGTTGGCACCTGAACAAAAGGGGAAGAGAAAACCTACCACTGAAAGTTGCCACTAGAACAGGAGATGAGGAGCACTATCAATGGAGACAACTAATTCAGTGAAGTCAAAAGAGGATTTCCCTCCACTTCCCACAGGCTCACCTAAACAGGAAGAGGGGACACAGCAATGAAAACTTATATTCACAGAGGGTGTAAAAAGCAGACAGTGCTTCTTTGTTCAAGATATAGGAAGGATAGCACTGTGTACTATAGAGGGCATCTATCTGCTGTCATGGGTACTGAAAAATTAAGTATGTGTTTTTGGGGGTGGTGGGAAGACTCTAGATTGAAGGCAGAAATTCCCATGAAAATGAAGAAGGGGGGGGAATTTAACATTATACATGGGATAGAAAAAAACATAGGATAAACCCTCGGATTAGCATAGGAGGAGCTTCCCCAAATATTTAGAAATGTATGCAAGTGAGAGCGTTGCTTTCAGTTCAAATTCGTAAGCAGGTTTGAAATTAGGACCATTCTTCTATTATAACAAAAGCTAAGGCACGCTGGGCATGTAATGCATGTCAAAAACAAGTGTGTATTGGTTATATCAGATATAAATCTTTCCAACTAACTTGAGGTGAAGTCAGGAGGAGGAGACTCCGTTTTTCAAGTGCAGGGATAACAATCTACTTTATTAAAACTAAGCAATGTTTGCTATGAGAAGATGTCTTTATCAAGCGTTAAGTGATAGCATGAAGTCATTCTCTTAAAAAAATAAAATGCCAACTCTTTGGGCAGCAAGTCATACTTTGCTGTCTTTGAAACCTATGACCCCTGGCAGACACTTCCCTTTGAAAACACTGTCTTGTGGTGATGTAGGATCAATGGATGGAACACCACCACGCATCGAGGAGATGCAGGCATCTGACACACCGGGAAGTGCTGGATGTTGAAGATTCTGTTGGTTGCATCTCTCCTCATCGTGAGGACTCGCCGACCCACACACAGTTATTAAGAGCCTTCTTTACAGGCACCTTTTTTCGTTTTAAACCGTTTGAAAGAGGAACAAAAAAAATAAATCTCTATAGGGCAAAGTGAGACTATCCAATGGTAACAGAAGAACGGGGAGCTCTACAGGTCAGCAGTCTCTTAATACCACTATAACATACTTGAATCCTTTACTGAATACACATAGAAGGTATACATAGTAGTAAACCATCCCAAATACCTAGCAGTTAAACTGATATATATGTATGCTTACACACAAAATGATAAAGAGAGAGGAGTGAGAGAGAGACACACATGCATGCACACATCATGTAGAAAACAGTGACATTTTCAAGCCTGTTTGGTCGCAATGTGAAGGGACTGACCCTTCCCCTGGCATTTGGGATTCAATTAGAAATGATGCATGGACATGCAGTGCCCTGGTGCCCTCTATTCTTTCACATTATCAGGGGGGACGTACATGGACACTGTAGGCTTACAGTGCTATTGTCAATGTCACCAGCAGAAAAACTCAACCATTTTCAGGTATAGGAACACTTTACAAAACAAAGTTACAAAAATAGTATTAGCAACTCTGACAAAATTCAACTTTTTTGTACTTTTACATATTTTTTTTAGCGTTTGTGGTCATCTAAATTGAGGGGAAAAAAAACTTGTATATATACAGTGTATTGGACATGAGGACGCTGAGGGACATTCCATTGCTGGAGCTTGAGGTGAGACTAGGCGGCGGGGACAAGAGTAGCAGCCTGCCAGCTCCGAGATTCAGGCGAGTATAACTTTATTTTTGTCCCTAGACAAAAATGAGCACCTAACCCATCCATTGCAAGGGTTAAAAATAATTATGCTCCGAGTTCTTCTTTAACCTCTTGCCGTCCGCCCGTAGTAAAAAAACGGACAGACGGCACTGCTACATCTGCGGGTTGCCGTCTCCAGACGGCAATTTTTTTCTGCTCGCGCATCAGTGCAACAGATTCCTCCATCTACGCTAAACTGTGTACCTGAAACAAAATCAGATTGTTCAGGTATTTTGACAGCCAGCGGGGACGACAAGCAAGATACTAGAGCTTGGCCCAGTGGGAGATTTCTCCATCCACACAGTTTAGTGTAGATGGAGGAATCTGTTGCAGCTTTTCCATCTGATCACAGAAAATCTGCAGGTAATCTATCGGTGTATGGCCAGACTTCGTTAGAAAAGCAGTATTTCTTTCTGAAGTTGAAAGATTACCATCATCACACTTATGAACTTTGACCTAATTCCATAAAGTTCAACCAGCAGCTTTTAGGACGGCTCTCGTCATATTGGTTTAGCACAAAACACAATAGTCCTTTCCCTGGTAGATATCAAACATACAGAGTAACACAATGACCGAACAATAATGTCACCTACAAGAAAGGTAAATCTATTCCTAAAGCAAGGAAAGAATGACATGGCTGCAGGAAATGTCAGGAGGCTATGATTTCAGCAGTGTTCAAAAGCACTGAAGCATTCTGTGCGGTGATCATCCATCTAAGGTAACTTGTTTATATCGGGCTATGATGGAGGACAGAATTCAGAATGTAGAGGAATGCGATGTATTAAAGTACTTAGACACAAACGTTAAGGGCACATTACCTCTCTTTTATTCCGCCGGGCAACTTTCAGGAATTCTGTGAGGATCTGGACTTGAGCAGCATGTGATTCCTGAGAGAAACATAAATTAGTGGCAGAAAGGAAAGAAATTGGTAGTCAAAGAAAACAAATATTCATACTTTACCATGAAAAAGGGGTACTACATGGCACGCATTATTTATATAGCGCCAAAAATGTACGCAGCGCTTTGCATAGTTGCACAATCACTTCAGTCCCGGCCCTCATGGAGCTTACACTCTACGGTCCCCATCGCACACACACGCAGGGACAATTAAACAGGAGACAATTAACCTTCCAGCATGTCTTTGGAGTGTGGGAGGAAACCCACACAAGCACAGGGAGAACGTGCAAACTCCTTGCAGATACTGACCAGGATTTGAACTAGGGACCCTCCCAGTGCTGCAAGGCAGAAGTGCTAACCACTACGCTGATGTGCTGCCCAGTGCCACAGACACACATTTGTTTTAGAATTTAACATCTCAATTCTTTATATATTCTCTTCGTAAAAAGAAAACACTCTGTGTCAAACTGGCAGGTTCGGAGAAGTATAAAGTATGATCTATGATGATGGCATGACACACGTTCCAAAGAACATGTAGGCGTTTTATCCATGCAACACGTTTCTAAGAACAAAGCCCACTTTCTTAAAGTAAATATTTTCCATTGTCCACCAGCTTCCTCAGCTAAAATATTTACACGGAATTAACAAATCATATATCATATACAGTAAACTCCCCATTATCCGGCATCCACGGGGGATCAGTAGATTCCGGATAAATGTAGCTTCTGATTGTTTGAGACTTACTATTAAAAATAGGTCTAACTAAATCCATACCCCATACTATACCATAAACTGTGTTGACTTCATATTAATATTGAAATACAGTAATCAAACGCAAATAAGCCAAATAGACACACTTATTAATAGTGCTGTAATACTGTATAGTAAATCCCAGCCGACCTGAGGAAACAGAGCATACAGAGGTGTGTGCGTACTTAAGGCCTCGATAATACGAAATCACCTGCACTCCATACAGACCTTGAGTAAGAGGTTGGTGCTTGAAGTGACAACACAGATGGTGCCGTTTCAGATACAGTCAATAATAGAAGTCACCAGCACTCGATATGTGCAAGAAGTAAAGCACTTTTCATTCAATCGTCACATGCGTCAAACAGCCAACGTTTCGGGCCACGCAGGGTCCCTTCTTCTGGGAGACACAGTGTCTATGTCGCTATGTCTGTCACTGTCGCCCAGAAGGGACCCTGCGTGGCCCCTAAACGTTGGCTGTTTGTCGCATGTGACGATTGAATGAAAAGTGCTTTACTTCTTGCACATATCATCGAGTGCTGGTGACTTCTATTATGGACTAACTTATGGCCTGGTGTGCCTGACAGTGGGGCTGGAGATGTTCCATATACTGTACTGTATTCCATGATCCTACCAGGAGTAGATCACTAAGGGGCGCCTCTCTAATACAGAAGCGGCCTACCACAGGATATTACACGGCAATCTCACTTTTCAGCCCCGATCCTCTACCCTCTCCACCCTCCCATGCGGCAGAGCCCCCTCTCCCAAAAGGTCACAGAAGATCGGCAGAACAGTGAGTACACAGTGGATTTTGTTTTGCCACTTATATGAAAGTTCTGGTTAGTTGAATATCAGTTAACTGAGAGTTTACTGTATTTAGTTAGATAGCATAAAGAATAATGAGAATGTAAACTTAAAAACTAGCAACCAGTCACATTTACCAACAGCAACCAGTCAGATTTCATGAAATCATATTTGTTCTGTGATCCAAGGTTGCTTTAGGATACAGCAGTATGCACACACATGTTGTATTTTGTTCTAACACACTGAATAAACTTTGTGCTGCTCTGCAGAAACTATGTACATGGAAGGGTTCATGTTTTCACCTAAATAAAAATTAATGGCAATAGTAATAACAGTAATAAAAACGAACACTTGGGAGAAGTGAATTCACAGCTGTGGAGTGGCCTGCCAAGGATCTGTGCAATCACATGCCCGTTATCAGTTTTGGACATAGGTTACAACAACACTGACGGAATGAGCCAACTGTGAACAAGAGTATAGGCACAACTCGAATTCACCATCACTCCTAAATTTACCCACCCGATGCAGACTGCTGACAATCCTCTTGTGCCAGGCTCTAGTGGACAAATGTTAGGCTGTCTTCAGCCTCTCTATTTCTGGAGCTAAATTTAATCTGAAGATTATATTATTTTCTCTTTGGCTGCTGTGATATTTGGCCAAATATTTTTATGGCTGTCCTGGCAGCAGAGCTGAACAATATGTGCTGTAGAAGGAGGCTCTGTTACTGGCACAGCATGCAACCGGGACAGAAAGACTCTTTATCAATTCCACGAGACTGTCTTCGCTAGCCTGGGAGGGATTGCCAAGAGGGAGAAAACAGGGGCACCGATACCTTCTACCAGAAGAAAGCACTACAGAATACATTTTCATAGGAATCTTATACAGAGAATAGTTTCTACCCAAGTCCAATACATTCCAACTAAATCCGGCTTACAGCTAGGGAAGTATAGAAAACCACAAGGGCTTGTCAGGCTTATAATTAAAAAAGAACATCTAGTGATTCGCTACAGTAGTAAATACAGTTTTAAATTAAAAACTGATTTTGAATTTTGACACCCAGTATTTCAAAACTGGATTGAGGGTTATAATAGTGGTTTACTTCTGTTCTGGACAAATACCAAAAGCCAAGTAGCCTAAAACAATTATTGCTGGTGCCTAACTTCTGGGTCTTTTCTATTGCTGTCCAAGAAAACTGAAAATCTTTTTTTTTTCCTCACATGTTATTCTATGTCTGTTTTTTCATTCCAGTTTCATCTCTAACATGAAGCAGTCAGACTTTTTCTAAATGTTCTTTAATGGAGTATTCCCAATGTTCAGAAAAGAACCTCTATATTTCTCCTCTACAGTTCAGAACATAAGCCTACAATTCTATTTTCTTGGAACAGAGCAGTATGCAGACCTTGACAAAAATACCCCAAGGACTGCAGTCCTTGGGGTTGCCAGTCCTATTTAGCGAGACACTGCACTAGTACGGTGGTAAGCCAGCCCCTGGCAGATGCCGCAGAGCTATGGTTTCAAATCAGCACACAGCGGACCTGTAGCAGTGAGTTAGGAGATCCCTTCAGGCAACACTAGAAGGCAAGGGGAACGGTTTTGGCTTACTATCGGTGTTAGTCTAAGTGGCACAGTCAGACCCGAATGTCTTATTCCTGTAGAGCAATGGTCCCCCCAAACTGCAGCTGCATGTGGGCCTATGCCTCCTTTTAACAGGCGCTTGAGACATCATTTCTTCCACCGACATTAAGGATGGGGCCCAATTTCTCCTACTGACACCAATTTTGGGGGCACTATTCCTCCCAATGATACCAACAATGGGGCAATTTTCCTTCCACCGCTACAAAGGGTGGGGCACTGTTCCTTCCACTGATGCCAACAATAGGGCACGATTCCATCCACTGATATCAACAACGGGGCACTATTCATTCCGGTGTCACCAATGTTCTTCTCCCTCTAACCAAAGGCTTAAGGTCATTTTTTACTCTAACTGCTGAACACTAAGCTTGGGGAATTGTTTACGCCCAATAACCCTGAGAAATTTCCTTTTCACAATGGCCACAGTCAAGACCCCTATGGTCTGAAGCACAATGAACTGCCCAGTTTTTGGGGACCCCTGCTGTAGAGCAATCCAATAGCGCCTTCTCATAACAATTGAGAAAACAGAATTTCTCCAAATGCACAGCATACACCATTTTCCTGATAACATACTGCCTCGTTTAATAGCTGAGCTGAGGAAGACGCCTGGGACTTGTTTTATCGAGGTTGCTCAAAAATACTTAAGAAATTGGGCCCAGTGCACTTGCTCTGCCTGTCTTGCATACTTACAGCTTCAAGCTGCCTCTTCTTCTGTACCAGAAGTTGAAGCATCAGATTCACATTGGCAAGATCCAGGTTATCCTGATCAGTTGCTAACAGATCCTGGAAGATCTGCCACCGATGACCATTCTGGGGAAAGCGGTAAATAATTATTAACATATACAACATTAGCAGCCAAAAATGCCAGTAACGATTACCCAACAAACAGTAAATGTACATAATATCATGTTATACACACACTTTGCACCATTGCCTAAGTCAGCTGATTTAGCCAGAAAAGGTAGCTCGAATTCTTCTGTGTTGTTTTTACAGGTGTAGACTACAGTGTTGCCATCTTTATCACTGCTTCACTTCTTAGTTTTTGCCCTGACTTGTGCATACAACTGAAGTGTCAAGACATCTAATATGCAAATACTTTTTACAAATGGGGGCTCACTAACTACTAACTAATGAATGAAAAATATGAACAACTGCTCACAAACTTACATCTTGAAAAATAAACTACCAATGATGGAATACAATTTTCTTACCTGATAGATTCCCCTTGCACAATCCAAAGGCTGTTAGTTTAAAGTAAGCCTGCCACCTTGGCCTAAAAAAAAAATACTAAAAGGTACAGGACTTAGTACCTGTTCTAGTCTTCTTGCAATCCTTGCAAACCTATGGATTCCCTTGGATCTAGGCCCAAGATGTGCAAAGGGCTTGGCCTGTAATCCAAAACAAAGCCTCACACTGTCATTTAACTGTCAAACGACAGGGAGAGGCAGGGTTTAACATTGAAGAGCAGCAATTTGATGGCTCTCTGTATAGTCATATCCCCAGAGGGCACACAAACAGCAATAGCAAACCGCTACTAGTTCTAGTTTCATCCTAGGAATTTCCAAGATCGCAGCTTCCAATTCTTGAGTCAAGCTCTGTCCATCTGCTGCTTCCCTGTCCTTGTTGGGAAAGCGGTCAAATTTGACAGCAGCTACTTTAGCATACAAAATATAGCCATTTTATGAAAGTGGGCTAAATTTGATGCATGTCAGAGTAATGATTAGGTCAAAAGGTTTAGAAAAAAATATATGCTCTGAATTACACAGCCAAGTCCTGGGCTTTAACAGACAGGCTCTAAATAAGTCAAAAGGATTTTCCAGGACATGGGAAGGAACAACTTTCTCAATGTCAAAGCCACCATAAACAGACAGAATGGTCTATGATGTTATTGGTTTTCCCGCAATGACAGTATGTGACGTTGGAAACTACTGTAATGGAAAGGGAAAATTAAATTACATCGAAGGAGGTTACCATCAGCCCCAATGATCTTGTGCACTCGAGTCAAGGAGCCATCAGTCTCTCTGCTCCTGCATAAATCAGAGGCACAAGAGTCTTACGTTTCTCCTAGGGCAGAAACAATCTGCTCTGCTAAGCGCCCAGGACAAGCTTCAGATACTCCAAGCGATGGCTCAAAACCAACAACTTCAGGAGGTTTAGAATCCATCTGAAACTCTGTACCATATTGACTGTCAGAGACGCATTGTTCTAAAGAGCTTCCCCATGACTCTTCCTGCAAGAGGAGTTTATCCAAGTAGCCCACTGAGATGCCAAGAAGCCGAATGGAAGGATTACAAACTGGTAGTGCAGTGGCTCACCCGCAAAGCACAGAAACCCTTGAATTATTGGAAAGATGGTAAACATTTGTTATGTCCACTGAGATTAGAAAGTCTCCCTGGTGGAGAAATGATAAAAGATTTCAATGATTCTATCCAGAATGTTTGGATTTGAATGCAGGCATTCAGAACCTTGAGTTCCAAGATGGGGCAAATTCCCCCTTTGTGCTTGGGAACAGGTGAAAGTACTAACCCAGAAACCGTACCGCAGATGGGAATGCGGCAATGACCCCTTGGTACGGTCCAAGAGTCCAGAAGGCATCTGATGGAGACCATCAAGATGTGGAGGAGACACAGGAAGAATGAAAAGTTAGAAAAACAGGAGGAGGGAGCAGGAAATAAAACTCAAGTTTGTAACTCTGGGACACCACCACCTGCAAAAGGGCATTGAGGATGTAAGATTTCCAAGCGTTCACAAAAACCAAACAGCCACAGGCCCCCTCTTTATGGTTAGATTGGATTCACTTATGTAAAGCCTATCCCCCTAAAAACAAGCTCAGTGAAGGGATTAAACAAATACTGTACCATATTTTTCGCTCCGTAAGACGCACTTTTTCCCCTCCAAAAGGCGGGGGTAATTGTGTGCGTCTTATGGAGCGAATCCCTATTGCCCGACGCCCGGAACATGCACGGGATGTCACAGCTTCTGTCACAGAACCTGCCTGCGTCCTATGGTCCGGTGCACCTTATGGAGCGCAAAATACGGTATATATTGCAAATTGTTTCTTTATATTAATTTTCGCCCAAGCACTTATAGTCATCATGTTTGAGAATAGCTAGCTCCAACTCTCTCAGCTCCACTTCCCTGAACTTCCTGTCTAGTACAAGATCATAAAAGACAGAGCAGTCTACAACAACTGTTCATCTACTAGCATGGAGAAGGAAGAAGAGAGGAAGGAGCAGAGGACTGGCTTGCCCTGCTGTGCCTGTGAGAGTGGGGAGACACGCACAGCTTACTAGCACACACAAAAAGGTGCTGCAAGGGAAAGGGCCACCCTGAAACAGACTATCAGGGCCAGTGCTCAGGGGACCAGCTAATTCTGAAGGAAGCTAAACCTTTTTTTTTTAAATCAAGAAGCAGCATCCATTCTGATTTATTCTGCAATTTAAATAGCTTAAAAGCCTTTTAACTTTAATATCACTTTAAGTGCCCACCCCAGTGCACAGGTTGATCTGAATACCAAAAATCAAAAGAGGTATTTTTATACCCATTCCAAAGATGACAGTCCAAACTTAGTGCAAGTGCATAGTATATTTGGGGGGGGAGGGGGGAGTGACGAGTATCTGACTGACCTATCTAGAAGTCTTTTAGGTGAAATTACCACTAACAGATGCTGCACACCTGGGAAAATGTTCCAAACCTCTGCACGGCTTTTCTCAGAAATGAACAGAGGACATTAATAAACAAAAACCTCGTCCACGGTATGATTTTGGACAGGACGTAAAAAATCAACAAGATAATAGATTACAGCTTGTCTCACACAGGTCTGTTAAATATTCTTTTCACTAGAAAGTAACACTTGCTAGGAGTGAAGCAAGGACAGCTGAAGGGCTATGTTACCCCTGGATACTCATATCAAACAAGATACAAGCATGTGACTGCTTTTATTTAGTTGTTTATTTAGTTGTTTATTTACATACAGTTAACTAGAAGAGCTCACCGATGGGTCCAACTTTAGGCGCTTGTCATCAAACCTCTGCTTTTGTTTCAGAATTAGTTCATTTACTGAAAAGGAAAAAAAAAAAAATCAGGTGACTAACTTAAAGAAACAAGACTGCAAGTTACCAGGTAACGACAAAAGAACGTTCTTATGCGGATACCTAAAGAACAGTGGTTTATGTATGGCTGTTTTAAAAAAAAAAAAACTTTCAGTATAAAAAAGGTACCTGCCGACACAAATCTACAACGTGTGTTGCTGTAAGCATTTGGATTCTTTGGAAAACAGGCTTTGTTTTAGGGCTGCAACTATCCGATTAATCGAAAAAAATTATTGGCCAACTAATCAAATTTTCATAATTAATTAGTTGGCCAATTATTTTTTCGACTAATCGGATAATTTGAAAAAATACCATCATTTAAAGCACACAAGTGGAGTTTAGAATAAAACTGCATGCAGTTTTTTGTGTAAATCGCACGACATTGCAGTACCACGCGTTCCAGTGTTGGCAATCACACTGTCGGCCAGAAGAACGTTTGGGGTGCCACTGAAATGAATGGCACCGCACGTTGCGCAGCAGGATTGGTCAGGCCAAAAACCAAAAATGACTTTTTTCCCCAACATCAAAAAAAATGTCATAATTGTTTGCATTATATTAGACATTTTAATTAGTTTCATGGATTTAAAATAATCTGAATTGAAACACTCAATTTTTTTGGAAACCTGTTTGGAAAAAGCAGGCAGATCAGAATTCCTAGAACACCAAGGTCTTTCTAAAAATAGAGCACAGAGGAAACTGTTTTCTTTAAAGTGATATTAAGGTCAAAATGATTTTAAAAGGAGAACTATGGGGTTCTATTTTTTCTTGATTAATGCATTCCTTAGGCTAAATAATTATGTAATTTACTCTAATTAGCCAAAATGCACAGTAAGGCTGTAAACCCTTATTTAAGGTGGTGGGCGGGGCTAAGCGCCGCAATGAGGAGACATCCTGACGTGTCTGACGGGATCCTCCCCACTGATGACTGACAGCGATTCTTGAGAGCTGCTGCGCGTCCACGAATATATGGACATGCGCAGCAGCTCTCTCCTTACCTGCACGTCCCCGTGTGCCAGCCGGGCTCCTTCCCCCCTCTCTCTCTCTCTCTCTCCCTGCCCTGTGTGACACTGACATATTAAAATGATCGTGGATCGCTGATGAGAGGGGAAGGAGCTCTCTCTCTCTTCAGCATTTACTACAAATGGGAAAGTCCATATATGGTAAATTATGTCACTGGAGATCCCTGCAGATCGATGCTTGCCAGTCTGCAGGGATCTCCAGTGACATAATTTACCATATATGGAAGATCAGTGGGGAGGATCCCGTCAGACACGTCGTGATGTCTCCTTATTGCGGTGGTTAGCCCCGCCCACCACCTTAAATAAGGGTTTACAGCCTTACTGTGCATTTTGGCTAATTAGAGTAAATTACATAATTTACTTATTTAGTCTAAGGAATGCATTAATCAAGAAAAGATAGAACCCTATAGTTCTCCTTTAAGCTATTTGAAATGCTGATTAAATAACTTACAATGGCTGTCGCTTCTTAACCCCTTCATGACTGAGGCCCTTTTTTCAATTTTTGCACCCATGTTATATTCCACATTTTAGGCCTGAAAATGACGTAAAACCCCCCAACATTATATATTTTCTGAATGCCAAGACCCTATAGAATAAAATGGTGGTAGTTGAAAATTTTTATGTTGCGCAATATTAGCGCAAAGTTTTAATTTCTTGCAGAATCGGCTGTGCATTCGTCTTGACTTCCTGTTTTAGAGGGACTCCTTTCTCAAACAAAGTGCTATGCAGTCACCCGTGTGTGTGCTAGTAAGGTGTGTGTGCTAGTAAGGTGTGTGTGTGTGTCTTCACAAACACAGCAAATCAAACTACTCCCACCCCCTGTGCCCGCCTCTTCTCCCTCCTCCTTTTTCCAAGCTAGTATATAAACAGTTGCTGGAGTCTGCACTGTTCCTTGTGATCTTATACTGGACAGGAAGTTTAAGGAAGCTGTTCAGGAACATGATGATTCTAAGTGTTTGGGCAAAAATGTAAAGCAATACTTTGCTGGCCAATGTAGATTTGTTTGATCTGGATTCATTATTGGAAAAAAGTTTGAGAATGTAATATTACTTTAAAAAGGAGAACTATGAGGGGAGTGATTTTCACTCCACCTCATAGTTCGAGCCGGCGTGCGACAATAAAACTGTCACACGTTGGCTCAATAGATCGGGAAGTGAGAGAACACATAACGTCGCTCGCTCACTTCTCAATCATATCCCTGCATTGAGCCGTGACCATCACCCACTGCTTCCCGCAGGGATCCCTCCCCGATCCTCCAGCGCTTACTGGAGGAACGAACGGGGGAGGGTACAGCTGGCTCTAACTCTAGATAGGAAGAGCCAGCTGCGTGATTGACAATCACGCAGCTGGCTGGATCTCGACAGTAATGTCGGGATATCCGTCCCGGCTGCTGCAGTCTCAATATACCGCGATCTGTAGCTCGAATATGCTGAGTTTTGGGTCGCGGAGGACGCTAGTTTATGATCTCCCGTGACCCTAAGGAGAACTATGGGGAAAAACACTTACCCCATAGTTCTCCTTTAAGTCTCTCTCTCTCTCTAACAAATTTGGTAATGAGCCGGAATGCTGAGGAAGGAGGGGTGATGAATCACTGCTCAGACTTATGTTATCATCTTGAGCTACTGAACTTTGTAAAATGTCTATTTCCAGCAAAACATAGACCTGGAAGGGCCTGGAAAACATGTGAAAAGGAGACCATAGTTCTACCTCCCTGGCTGAAAATACAAATTAAAAATGTATTTTTCATTTTAGTTTTAGCCATGTATATTAGGAAATATTTTATAAAAACATTTGTTTTTTCAGTCCTGTCCCACATTAAATAAAGAATATAAATAGAAAACGAAGGACATGAAGACCCTAGTGCTACAGTCATGGCCAAAAATATTGGCACCCCTGCATTTCTGTCAGATAATAAACCTGCAGAAAACTGTTGCAATTACAAATGTTGAGGCAAACAAAAGTTTATTTCTTTTGTTTGTATTGGTATGACACAAAAAAGGGAAGGAAAACAAAAAGCCAAATCTAACACATTCCATGCAAAACTCCAGAAATGGACTGGACAAAATTATGGGCATCTTCTCCAAATTGCAAGAAATTATTGACAACTAATTGAAATTATTGATAACAATTAACAGGTGCTGACAACATAGAAACCACAACGGCAACCAGTTTAAAATGGTGAAAAAACAGTTTAAAAATGACTCAACCTTTCTGCTGTGTGTCTGTGTGCCACACCGAGCATGAAGAGAAAAGAGCAGCCAACAATTGTCTGAGGATTTGAGAACGAAAATTGTGGAAAAGCATGGACAATCTCAAGGATACGAGCCCATCTCCAGAGATCTTAATGTTCCTGTGTCCACTGTGCGCAACACTGTCAAGAAGTTTACAGCCCATGGCACTGTAGCTAATCTCCCTGGACGTGGACGAAAGAGAACAATTGCTCAAAGATTGCAATGAAGGATTGTTTGAATGGGGGGTAAAGACCCTCAATCAACTTCCAGACAAATTCAAGCTGACCTTCAGGCACAGGGCACACTTGTGTAAGCTTGCACTATACGTCACCATCTGAATGAAAAGGGACGCTATGCTAGGAGACCCAGGAGGACCCCCACTGCTGACACAAACATAAAAAAGCCAGATTGGAGTTTGCCAAAACTTACCTGAGGAAGCCAAAATCCTTTTGGGAGAATGTGCTGTGGACAGACGAAACAAAATTACAGCTTTTTGGTAAAGCCCATCATTCTACTATTTTCAGAAAATTAAATGAGGCCTTTAAAGAATAAAAATTACAGTTCCTACAGTCACACATGGTTTAGGTCCACTGATGTATTGGGGTTGCTTTGCTGCTTCGGGCACTGGATCTCCTAACTGTATGCAGGTTATGAAATCTGAAGACTACCAAAGAATTCTGGGGTGCAATGTAGGGCCCAGTGTCAGAAAGTTGGGTCTCCGGCAGAGGTCATTGGTCTTACAGCAGGACAATGACCCAAAGCACACATCAAAAAGTACCCAGAAATGGTTTCAGCCAAAGTGATGGAGAGTACTGGACTGGCCAGCAATGAGTCCAGATCTGTATCCCATGGAGCACCTGTGGAGAGATCGCAAAACAGCAGTTGGGAAAAAGGAACCCTTCCAATCCGAGAGACCCGGGGCAGAAGAGTGCTCCAAAATTCCTGTAGAGAGGTGTAAGAAACTCATTGATGGTTACAGGAATCGATTGATCTTCAGTTATTTTTTTCAAGGGCTGTGCTACCAAATATGAATTGAGGGTGCCAATAATTTTGTCCAGTCCATTTATGGAGTTTTCCATGGAATGTGTCAGATTTGGCTTTCTTTTCCTCCACTTTTTTTGTCATACCAATACAAACAAAAGAAATAAACAGGAGAATGCCTAAAAATTGGTAATTGCAAAAATTTTCTGCGTGTAGTGGTGCATTATCTGACAGAAATGCAGCGGTTCATGACTGTATCTGGTAGAAAGATATGTTAATCAAATGCTTGGTAAAAGAAAGTGAACATAAACATGGCAAATGTACTTATCACTACTGCCTGTTGGGTAGTAAAACGGTCTTGGATTGCAAAGATGCAAAACGTCTTTAGAAGACCACAATTAAAGTGTAATGTTGCTGTGGATACTTCAAAAAGGTTTCTGCAGAATATCTGGAGGTTATCTACTGTTTGTTAGTAACCAGCAACAAGAAGCAAAAAAAAAAAGCAAGAGTGAAAAGTTTGGAGAATGGTAGAAGACAACAAAGTGTGAGTTAAAAAGCCAATTCAAATCAGTCAGGAAGAGACTGCTCCTTCCTCACATGTAACAAACACTGGCTCTAAGTTTAATAAAGTGATGCATGTTACTTTATAGAAGTTAGTGTATCCCACGAACATGATCCAGAGACTTGACCTAGAGGCTACACAAAATATTTAAATCACATTTGAAGTTCTAATTTCTTTTCATGTAAAAAAAATAAAGTCAGGAATTTAGGCCGGGTTCACACCCAGGCGACAGCGTTTTTGTGCATTTTACCTCCTCATGTATCACTTGCCCCTCCCTTTTAGATTGTAAGCCCTCACGGGCAGGGCTCTCCTTACCATCTTGTCTTGAATTGCGATTGTAATGTCTTCCTTATATTTTAAAGCGCTGCATAAAACTGCTGGCCCTATATTATTTCTGGCTTCCTGACCAATTAGGAAGCCGGGCAGCATGTCATGACCCATCTTCTTGATTGGCTGGGTAGCCGGCTTCACACTGCATAGTGCCACTGCGAGGCAGCCCTGCTTCCTAACCAATCCGGTAGCCAGGCTGCATCGCGAGGGAGCGCAAAGCCGGTGTTCTTTCGATAGAACACCAGCTTCCTGATAAGCCGGACCCACGGTACCCCAGGATGTCGCTATCAGTATAGGCAAGTACCGGAAAGAAAAGAAAAAACTCCTTGTGGGATGTTTTTCGATTTTGTAGCAAGAGCAGTTAGATTGTGCCACAGATTTACTACAAGGTTACAGCATGGATCATTAATACCTCCCTCAACTGCTCTAAAAGTAGAACCAAGCTGTAATATAACCGGATCCTGGCAACTTCCTAATTATGCATCTGGTTAGATTGAAAATCAGTCTCAGTGACAAATCTGTTGCAGATCTGAGCAAATCTGTCACAGTTTGCTGTTCAGGAATACAGGCACAGGGGTCACAAACACTAAGCTTGTCGCAGAGACTTCTTTGAATAAGAGGCAGTAGGACTTGCACCCAATTGTGTTACTAATCCGCTTGATAAAATGCCTCCCTTTGACTACATTTAAAAGGTGTGGGGTGCATCGATTTGTAACAGCTGCCTGAAGCTCAGCTGTAATAGAGTAAAGAGTATCCTAGGAGTAAGACACAAAGCAACAGAGTACACAGCATCCTAGAAGAGAGATACAAAGCAAAATGTACTCACCTAAAAAGTTGGGGTAAAGGTGGTCAATGTTATCAACCACATAGTTACACTTTGGGCAGCGGTTATTGTCCTCCAGACTTTGATGGATACATTTGTAGCTGTAAAAAAAATACAAAATAAAAAAAAAAATCACATGGTCTGTTGCTGACTTCACTTGATGCATGTTCCAAATGAATTACCTAAAAGGTAGTTAGGTAATTCCAGAAGATTTCTCTGTTGGTCACAGGAGACTGAGTCTATTCTACAGCCAATGTTTTATCTTCTATTTACTTAATGGACTATTGAAGACATTTTTTAACCATTTATGCACATTTTTTAACCATTTATTATTTTCACTGTAGTGCATGTTCTACACATGCATTTTTCTAGTTGTTAATCTTTGCACATTGCATCCCATTGATTCACAGTTAATATTCAGTGCACTTGATTTTTCATTTTGGATATTTTGTAGCAATTACATTTACACTAAGGTGCACGTTATATACATGCGTTTCTTCATTAATTTTTACACATTGTATCACATTACTTCAAGGTCAGTATCTACTATATCTGACACTTTTGCGGTTTCATTCATACAGCGCGGCTTTTACCATTCATTTCATACGATATATCTGATCCCACAGATTTCAGCTGCTGCTTAACTTGATTAGAGTAGTGGTGCGAGGTTTCACATTATTAACTCTTACAGGAGTGAATTTCCCTTCCTAGGGGTAGATTTCCTCTCACTTCCTGTTGTCTCAGGGACAGGAAGTGAGATTAAATCTTCCTAATCAGGATACAAACAGTAAAAACCTCACAGTGACCCGGAAGAAGAGGTGGGCACACCTCATCTGCACGTCTAACAAGAGCCAACTTCCTGTAATGTACGTACAGTACTACAAACCAGACCCAAAAAGGCGGGCACACCACGTCGGCACGAGTGCAGTAGCATTACAACTACTGAAACGCTGTGCGGTACACTTTGGCTGCAGCCTGGCACCCCCTGCTGTACAGTAATAGCCTCCGTTTGTAAGTAGGGGTCGTATGTAAGTCGGATGTTTGTAACTCAGGGACTGCCTCTATTAGTAACTTTCAGACACAAAGAGGAGGTCAGAGATTGTCATGACAGGTTTGCCCTGAAATAAGGAGCTCTTAAACGAGATGGTAAATCTCCTCAGCAGGGATATGGACAACAATAAAAACAGGGGTTCAAAATCTCCCCTGCTCAATCCAAACTAAACAAAGTTTTGGCTTATACATACACTTGAATACCTCAGATGGTTCAAAAAGCCCAAAAGGTTACAATATGACGACCTTCCAGCCTGTGAATCAATCATTGCTTTTCTATCCACTATTCTTCAGCTTCGAGGACCAGTTCAATTTTTAGGACACTACGGCACTGAGGAAGCGGAGTTTCCCAGATACAGCTGCAGAATACATTGGCTACATGTCAATGGTTATCGATAGAAGTCCTTCATCAGGCCTGTTTGGCTCCATGTGATTCTACCCAAGTGCAGATATGAGGATTCAACAATTAGGATTAAAAATAAAACAATAAAAGGTGATCAGCGCCAGTAAGTGTAATGTGGAAATAAGAGCTACCAAGCACTAAGGATATAACTAAATATCTGAACAATTTTCAAAACAATATTGTGCCGAGCTAATAATCATACATATCTAATAAATTGAAACATATATAAGTGAGTCACATAAATGAGGCATAAAAAATATCTACAAAGACAAAAAAGCAATATAGACAATAAAAAGTCTCAAGGAAAAAACAAAAGCAAACAATGGTGATTGTGCAAAAAAATCCTTCAGATGATTCGCAGCCAATCTGCATATAACTCTCAGGTAAGGATAATCACACAATGCAGGCAGACCTTCACCTCCACCCAGTGAATGGTCAGACCCCTGATGAAGTCACGTGTTTTGACGTAACGTACGTAGGGCAGAGCTTCTGATGTCACTGCACTGAGCTGAGCGAACAGGTTGTTTTATCACTGTGCTGCCATTTGCAATGCTGGTCTGATCTAGCAATACCCAATGCCTGTACTGTTTATATCATTGCGAGTACGCATTTCTTATTTAATAAATTGCATTTTATTGGACGTTACGCACTATGTCCTTGTTCTTTTTCTCTTTCCACCTGGATTTATACTGGTACCTGTGATCTGAGGAGACCTTTTCTGTGCATGGGCTTCCCTCCCCCATTAAGAAGGGGAAAAGCGCATTTGACCTAGCTCTGTAGGTCTACCTCCCTAGGTGAGCACTCACTTGTTGTCATCACTCACTGGGTGGAGGTGAAGGTCTGCCTGCATTGTGTGATTATCCTTACCTGAGAGTTATATGCAGATTGGCTGCGAATCATCTGAAGGATTTTTTTTGCACAATCACCATTGTTTGCTTTTGTTTTTTCCTTGAGACTTTTTATTGTCTATATTGCTTTTTTGTCTTTGTGTAGATATTTTCTATGCCTCATTTGTTTGAAGGCTCATATATGTGACTCACTTATATATGTTTCAATTTATTAGATATGTATGATTATTAGCTCGGCACAATATTGTTTTTCATACTGGCAAGGATTACTATTGTTACAAGTATTAACCATATACAGCTACCTTAAAAGAGAACTATGGGGTAAGTGTTTTTCCCCATAGTTCTCTTAAGGGTCACGGGAGGACATATACTAGCGTTCTCACGTGACCCAAAGCTCAGTATAGCGCGGGCTACAGCTCTCGGTATACTGCGACCGCCGCAGCCAGGACAGATCCCGACATTACTGTCGAGATCCACCCAGCTGCGCAAGTGACAGTTGGCTCTTCCCATCTAGGAGGCAGAGCAAGCTTTACCCAACCTCTCCCCCGTCCATTCCTCCGGTCAGCGCTGGAGGATCGGGGAGGGAGGAATACCTGCGGGGAGCTGCGACTGTCACCGCTCTCTGCAGGGAGATGATCAAGAAGTGAGCGAGTGACAGTATGCGTTTGCCCACTTCCTGATCAATAGAGGCGACCTGTGACAGTTTCATTGTCACACGTCGGCTCGAACTGAGGATGAATGATTTTCACTCACCTCATAGTTCTGTTTTAATTCAATAATGCTTCCTATAATGGTACTAAAAAAACTATTGAATAACTTATAAAAGCTCTCCCAAAATAAAAAATGCAAAAAAAAAATTGCTGCTTTAAAAATACTACGGCCCAGTGCTGATACAGGGTACACAAGCGGCCCATTCAGTACTAAACAATGAACAGAGTTTGGAAGTGCAGTGCAAAAGCAAAAGCCCATCAGAGGACCTCGCAGTGTACTGGCGGTCCCGCCAACACTGCATTACTCCACTACACCATGAGGCCCCTTCAGTAACAAAGGGCTTAAGATGAGCCGCAGAAAAACAAAAACATCTTTCCCCCTCTGTGTTCTCACAGAACATGGCTTTATTCCAGGGATAAAACTTCTCCAATGTCAGGGAGGCAGCTGCTATTAGTTTTAAAAAGGTCTTTAAAAAAAAAAAAATACGCACATACACGAAGATTTGCATCCAGACTGACACCTGGATATGATTTTACTAAGTTTGCTTTTAGAATTTTTTTGGGAATCACAAAACTTGTGAACTATATGTATGTTTCGCACAGAAGCATTAAGATATAAGCGGGAAATGGATTTTTAACTCTTCTGCTGTAAGGGGTGCCAGAACGAGTATTACCTCCTCCAATATGGTTCAGCAAAATACTATAGCAATTTGAGGTAATCAGGACAAGCTTTGTTTTTGCACCGCAGATTACTGGTTCTAATCGTCGCAAAGATTTTTTATTTTTTGTACCAAAACAAAGATTTAATTGTAACGCATGAACAATTTATATATCCATTTTCTATATATTGACACCAATTCCTAGTCACAGGTGCTTCAACAGAAAACCTTGCTGGTCATAAATGGAAGTATTCCTGAGCAAGGGCCCCATCATATGATAACAATAACTCAGAGGCCATGACCCAAAAACACAAATACATCTACTACATACTGACAAAATAAGCAGCTAAAAACGTCTGTACAAGCCTTCATTTGGCTGCATTCAGACCAGCTGCAATGACAGGTACACATGAAACAGAATATATTAAAGCAGAATAAATGTGTTTTTGCTTTATTTTTAATGTAACACTCAAACTGAAATATAAAAAAATAGTATATGCATGGAAGCTTGCAAAACGATGCATCTTTTTCCAGGTGGTCTCCCATCTGCTATGAAGACAGTGCAAAGCCTGGGATTCACTATGGCCCCTTGGCTTCAGCTCAGCAACCTTCATAGTCCAGAGGTCACAGGCTTTGCATACCTTCATAGTCCAGAGGCCGTAGGCTTTGCATACCTTTAGTCCAGAGGCCGTAGGCTTTGCATACCTTTAGTCCAGAGGCCGTAGGCTTTGCATACCTTTAGTCCAGAGGTCATAGGCTTTGCATACCTTCATAGTCCAGAGGTCATAGGCTTTGCATACCTTTATAGTCCAGAGGTCACAGGCTTTTCATACCTTCATAGTCCAGAGGTCATAGGCTTTGCATACCTTTAGTCCAGAGGTCATAGGCTTTGCATACCTTTAGTCCAGAGGTCATAGGCTTTGCATACCTTTAGTCCAGAGGTCATAGGCTTTGCATACCTTTAGTCCAGAGGTCATAGGCTTTGCATACCTTTAGTCCAGAGGTCATAGGCTTTGCATACCTTTAGTCCAGAGGTCATAGGCTTTGCATACCTTTAGTCCAGAGGTCATAGGCTTTGCATGCCTTCATAGTCCAGAGGTCATAGGCTTTGCATGCCTTCATGGTCCAGAGGTCATAGGCTTTGCATGCCTTCATGGTCCAGAGGTCATAGGCTTTGCATGCCTTCATGGTCCAGAGGTCACAGGCTTTTCATACCTTCATAGTCCAGAGGTCACAGGCTTTTCATACCTTCATAGTTCAGAGGTCTTAAGCTTTTCACACGGCCCTCTTTGTATGTCCTTATGCTCCAAAATTGGTACAAAGGGCAGATACCATCACTGGACAGAACAGTGTGGTTCCCCTCAATCCCCGTCCTATGCTCTACCTTCTCATTTGTTGACAACTGCATTATTTAAAAACAAGTGATTGGGT